TCCTTTTACTTCTTTTTCTTCTGTGATTGATATGGCTAAAACTTCCAAAACTATGTTGAATAATAGTGGTGAGAGTGGACAACGTTGTCTTGTTCCTGATCTTAGAGGAAATGGTTTCAGTTTTTCACCATTGAGAATGATGTTCCCTATGGGTTTGACATATATGGCCTTTATTATGTTGAGATAAGTTCCCTTTATGCCTAGTTTCTGGAGGCTTTTTATCATAAATGGGTGTTGAATTTTGTCGAAAGCTTTTTCTGCATCTATTGAGATGATCATATGGTTTTTCTCCTTCAGTTTGTTAATATGGTTTATCACATTGATTGATTTGCGTACGTTAAAGAATCCTTGCATTCCTGGAATAAACCCCACTTGATCATGGCGTATGATCCTTTTAATGTGCTGTTGGATTCTGTTTGCTAGTATTTTGTTGAGGATTTTCGCATCTATGTTCATCAGTGATATCAGCCTGTAGTTTTCTTTCTTTGTGACATCTTTGTCTGGTTTTGGTATCAGGGTGATGGTGGTCTCGTAGAATGAGTTCGGGAGTGTTCCTCCCTCTGCTATATTTTGGAAGAGTTTGAGAAAGATAGGTGTTAGCTCTTCTCTAAATGTTTGATAGAATTCACCTGTGAAACTATCTGTCCTGGGCTTCTGTTTGTTGGAAGAGTTTTAATCACAGTTTCAATTTCAGTGCTTGTGATTGGTCTGTTTAAATTTTCTGTTTCTTCCTGGTTCAGTCTCAGAAGGTTGTGCTTTTCTAAGGTTTTGTCCATTTCTTCCAGGTTGCCCATTTTATTGGCATATTGTTACTTGTAGTAATCTCTCATGATCCTTTGTATCTCTGCAGTGTCATTTGTTCTTTTTCATTTCTAATTCTATTGATTTGAGTCTTCTCCCTTTTTTTCTTGATGAGTCTGGCTAATGGTTTGTTAATTTTGTTTATCTTCTCAAAGAACCAGCTTTTAGTTTTATTGATCTTTGCTATCGTTTCCTTCATTTTTTTTCATTTATTTCTGATCTGATCTTTATGATTTCTTTCCTTCTGCTAACTTTGGGGTTTTTTGTTCTTCTTTCCCTAATTGCTCTAGGTATAAGGTTAGGTTGTTTATTTGAGGTGTTTCTTGAGGTAGGATTGTATTACTATAAACTTCCCTCTTAGAAATGCTTTTGCTGCATCACATAGGTTTTGGGTTGTTGTGTTTTCATTGTCATTTGTTTCTAGGTAATTTTTTATTTCCTCTTCGATTTCTTCAGTGATCTCTTGATTGTTTAGTAGTGTATTGTTTAGCCTCCATGTGTTTGTGTTTTTTACAGATTTTTTTCCTGTAATTGATATCTAGTCTCATAGCACTGTGGTTGGAAAAGATACTTGATATGGTTTCATTTTTCTTAAATTTACCAAGGTTTGATTTGTGACCCAAGATATGATCTATCCTGGAGAATGTTCTATGAGCACTTGAGAAGAAAGTGTATTCTATTGTTTTTGGATGGAAAGTCCTATAAATATCAATTAAGTCCATCTTTTTTAATGTATCATTTAAAGCTTGTGTTTCCTTATTTACTTTCATTTTGGATGATCTGTCCATTGGTGAAAGTTGGGTGTTAAAGTCCCCTACTATGATTGTGTTTCTGTCAATTTCCCCTCTTATGGCTGTTAGCATTTGCCTTATGTATTGAGGTGCTCCTATGTTGTGTGTATAAATATTTACAATTGTTATATCTTCTTCTTAGATTGACCCCTTGGTCATTATGCAGTGTCCTTCTTTGTCTTGTGTAATAGTCTTTATTTTAAAGTCTATTTTGTCTGATATGAGAATTGCTATTCTAGCTTTCTTTTGATTTCCATTTGCATGGAATATCTTTTTCCATCCCCTCACTTTCAGTCTTTATGTGTCCCTAGGTCTGAAGTGGGCCTCTTGAAGACAGCATATATACGGGTCTTGTTTTTGTATCCATTCAGTCAGTCTATGTCTTTTGGCTGGAGCATTTAATCCATTTACATTTAAGGTAGTTATTGGTATGTATGTTCCTATTACTATTTTCTTAATTATTTTGAGTTTGTTATTGTAGGTCTTTTCCTTCTCTTGTGTTTCCTGCCTAGAGAAGTTCCTTTAGCATTTGTTGTAAAGCTGCTTTGGTGGTGCTGAATTCTGTTAGCTTTTGCTTGTCTACAAAGGTTTTAATTTCTCTGTCAAATCTGATTGCAATCCTTGCTGGGTAGAGTAATCTTGGTTGTAGGTTTTTCCCTTTCATCCCTTTAAATATGTCCTGCCACTCCCTTCTGGCTTGCAGAGTTTCTGCTGAAAGATCAGCTGTTAACCTTGTGGGGAGTCCCTTGTATGTTATTTGTTGTTTTTCCCTTGCTGCTTTTAATATTTTTTCTTTTTATTTAATTTTTGATAGTTTGATTAATATGTGTCTTAATCTCTGTAGGTAGTCGTATATACCCACAGAGCAAAGTAGGTTTTTTTGTGTTGACAACCAAAATGGCTCTGCGTGATCCTCCACATGATGGTGTTTACACTTTAAGATGTTGGCAAGCATGTCTGGCTGCTATTATTTTAGGGTGTCCTGATTTTAGAAGAACATATGCTTTATTAGGGGAAGTGGGTAATGGGGAGTGGTTATCTAAGGGGTATAGAGTTTCAGTTTAGAAACACCTAGAAATGGTTAGGATGGTAAATTTTACATTATGCATTTTTTATCACAATACAAAAATTTGCTTTAAAAGTATTATTACATAAATAATACCTGATAATTATGGAAACATCAGTAAATACAGACAAGCAAAAAGGAAAATAAAATCACTGACAATCCTAACTGCTGAGTTTTCTTATTACACAAATGCACAAATTATGTGTAGGTTCATATTTGGATTTGCTGCTTAATAACCTGACCTTTTCAAACAAAGTTTACACTATTTTTAACCATGTTTTAAGTTCTATATTCTTAATTGAAAATGAGAAGTAGGATGTTTCACATTTCTGTAAACTCTAAGGCCTCAAGACAGAAGTGCAGTGACACGTTTTAGGGGTACATGCCCCTCCACTGATGCTTCTCTGTTTAGGTCATGTGTCCTCAGGGGAAAGAAAGGCTCCCCAACTCCTGATTTGTCAGCCAGCTGTAATGACATCTTTCAGTGGTTCCTTTTAAGTATGAACCCATCTACAGAGGCTTCTGGTACTTTGGGAACTGGTGTGTCTACCTGTCCCTGGGGCTCTTCAGTCACATGTCTATCCAGTGGGGTAATGTAAATATGTGTCTCAGCAAGGTTAACGATTAAATTGTTGGGATGAAAGGTCGAAGGCCTGCCTTTGGAACATGAGAACATCAGAATGGGAGATATATGTTGCTACTTGCCTTCTACCTTCTCTGAGGAAAAGAGTAAATAAGAAACACAGTCATACAAGAGTCTTCATTCCAGAAGTGATCTAGGAATCATGCTGGAGAAGTTCTGCAACTCTACTTTTTGGGTAAGAAATTACACTTGTCCTCACTGTTGACTCTCCTCAACTCGGAACAAGTAGTAGATTAGCCTAGAGTGACCACTAATAAGAACTAGAAAAGTTAGATGTGCAGTTGGTCTAAAGTTCAGGGTTTCTTTTCTTTTTTTTTTTAAGATAAGTCATAATATCTCCCTAGGATATTCTATGTGGGGGAGATAATATATTTCTGCTCTAAAATACGTTTATCGTATCCCACACTCTTTTTTCTTGGACCAGGTAGCTGCAAAATTGCCTTCTCTAAAGAGAAATACGGGAAAGGCTTCCAATTTCATCAGTGTTAGGAGGGGGAATTGTTTGTGGAGTATGAGGACAAAGAAAAGGCCTGTGATTGAGTCTTGCTGAGAAATGTTGATGTTGAAATAATACTGATATGTTCTAGAGGAACCAGCAATTAGTGGTGTGACTGGAAGTTGAGGCTAGGGATGCAAATTTGGGCATCCTGAGCACTGAAACAGTTTTTGAACCATTAGAGCAGAGAATTCAAAACAACGAGCATCGGTACCAAATGGTTTAGTGGAATAGAAATTTAGGGATTTTGAGGAAGTGTGGTGTGCAGACTCCTAGGATCAGAATCATCTGGAGTGCTTGTTAAACTGGTTTAACTATCTTAGGTAATTCTTCTGAATTCTAAAGTTAAATAATTTTATGGGGAGAGGAGAAGAGCAGGAATGAGATAACAGAGCACGTGGACAGCACTTCCCATCCTAGAAAGAACCTGGACCCCAAGGCCCTCGAGGCCAGGACATGTATACCACAGGAAGGTGGGGCTTAACATGCCCCAGGATCTCACCAGGCCATCTCAAGAGAATTCTTTCTGAGAATCATCTGACCGATCATCTTGGTCAGGGCACCTCAGTCTTTAAAGAGTCTGTGCAAACAGCTGAACAAAGCAAAAAATATTTGTAAGAAGAGAATAATCTACCCTCACATGACTCAGATGTAAGAACTGGCGCCCCACCTTCACCTCACAAGATACTTCTATTTATTGCAGAGTGCAAAGACCAGTAGAAAACTTGCTGGGAATAAGCCTTCCCTCCAATGTGCCATTGCTGCTCCTGTACCTAAGGCCTCTTCACGATCCACCTTAAGCCCCTAGGGCTATAGGAGTTTAATTGCCAAAGTATGACTAAGCATTCTGCTACCTGCAGGTTAGGTTTGAGTGTCTGCCAGTGAGTTCAATCAATGCTAAAAACTAGAATAAGGTTTTTTTTGTGTGTGTGTGTGGTACGTGGGCCTCTCACTGTTGTGGCCTCTCCCGTTGCGGAGCACAGGCTCTGGACGCTCAGGCTCAGCGGCCATGGCTCACGGGACCAGCCGCTCCGTGGCATGTGGGATCTTCCTGGACCGGGGCATGAACCCGTGTCCCCTGCATCGGCAGGCGGACTCTCAACTACTGCGCCACCAGGGAAGCCCTAGAATAAGAAGTTTTTATATCCCAGGACTGTTCTCCCCTTTAGGTTGAGGAATGGTCCTTCTTCTTCCCACAACTTGGCAAATGTGGTGGTGAAATTAAATCATAATAGATGGTGGAGAAATTCACTTAGAATCACAGAAAGAAAGGTTTTTAGAGGGTGGATTGGTCAGAAAAGTCACTAAATGACATTTAATGGTGAATTTATATCAATGGAGTTGGATAGGAAAATACAGCTAGTTAAAGGGTCAGGCTAAATATGGATATAGAACTGGGTTAAAATTGTTTGGAAGCAAGGGTAGGGGGATGGGTGTGAGCTGGGGGCTGGTATTCTCTTTTTTAAAATGCATGTATCCAACAATCATTCCATTTTGGTCCCCCAGAATTCCTCATTCCTGGATAGCCCGGAGGTGGACCTGCCACTTTGTTTTGAGCAAACTGTTCTGGTGTGGATTCCCTTGGGCTTCCTTTGGCTCCTGGCCCCTTGGCAGTTTCTCTATGTGTATAGATCCAGGACCAAGAAATCTTCTATAACCAAACTCTACCTTACTAAGCAGGTATGGGAACCCCACTATTTTCTAACTAATTTTGTGGTACACAATAGAGACATTTTCTTGGTGGTTCAAGTGTCTTCTTCCCTGTCTTTAACCAGCTTTTCCAGGTAGAGCCATGCTCTGGATGTCCCTGTCTCCATCTGTCCTATGCCTCATTGGCCCCCTGCCGTACTTCTTAGTTAAGTTACTTTGATTTTTGCATAAGAATAATGACTCATAAATCCTATGGATATTGGACTCTGGAAACACCAATGATGAGTAATCAGTCAGTTGAATAGTTGTGGTCTTTTCAGCATTTGAGAAGCAAATACTGGATTATCTATCTTTAAGCTGTTCTAATTAATCAGGAGACTATAATTCAGTTGGCATCTACCATGAAGTAAAAATGAACTATTTAATGTGTCCTCTGCTCCATTCAGCCAATCCAAACATTGCTCTTCTCCCCAGGGTTGGATCTGAAATGGGGCTTCCATTTTCCCAAAGTCAACCCTGAGTGTGGATGCTCGCTCAAAGTAGAGAGAGGAAGGGTGTGTGCTCATGGTGACATGCCTGAGTAGGGAAATAATGGAAAGAACAGGGGCTGCAGGAGGAATGAGGGTAGGAGCCTCTCAGCCAGCTGCACTGATTAATGCAGAGAAGGTCTTGTGAGAACCGAAAGATCCTCAACTGAGATTGTAAAACTACCTCTTAAAATCTATCATCTGCTTCTTTTCACTAGGTTTTTTTCTATCCTGATTATTAAACAGGGCTTTTAGAGAGGCAAATTAGATTCGGTGTTCTATAAGCATACAGGCCAATGACCTCAGGTTACTGCAGTCTAAAAAGAAGGAAGGAAGAAATTTGGCCAAAGGAAGTTGGATTTGCATTGACACTCTGAGGTGGGGTGGTGGTGTGTTTTGTCTACTCTGGATAGAAGAACAGTCTGCGAGAGCTTGGAGCAGGGCTATTGTCTCCCTCGCTGACCTGAGTGCCCAGCACAGGGCTTACCACTTGGTACACAATTGTTGAATGTTGGTATTAAATGCACTCTAGGAATAGGGATTGAGTCAAGAGTGTGTTAGACTGAACATTGAACAGCATGCTTCAGTACCCTTAGGGATGAGAGAGAGCTTTTGGTTAGTCAAGTTAGAGGGCTTCTATCATTTTCTGGAGCTTCCAAGAAAAGGTTGAGTAATGAGTAAATCAGTATCCCATTTTTATCATAGCTATTAATTAACTTTTAATAAACAACTTTATTGAGAAATAATTCACATAGCATACAATTTCACCCATTTAAATACAATTCTTTTCTTTTTAAGTATTTTCATGATATGTGTAACCATCACCACAGTCACTTTTAGAACATTTTTTCCCCTCAAAAAGAAATCCTTTATCAACCCCTATCTCCCCATCTCCCCTAGCCCTAAGCAACCACTAGTATACTCTTTGTCGCTATAGTTTCCCTATTCTAAACATTTCATACGAATGGAATCATATAATACATGATCTTTTATTACTGGCTTCTTTTACGTAGCATAAGGTTTTCAAGGTTCATACATGTTGTTTAAGGCTCATCCCTAATATTCCAATGTATGGATATATCATGTTTTGTTTAACTTTTATAAACACAAATCTCTATAGATAAAACTGTAGATAAAAAGAAATGTATTAGCTTTTTTTTTTTTTCCTGTAGCTAATAATCCACTCACCCTTGCTCATAGTTTCAGGAGCTTCGTTTATAATTTATACTTTCTTTTGTCCTCCACCCTGAGAGTGATAGGCACAGAGTAGCATCCTCTTAAAAATTTCAGAATAATTGGTTTCTCCTCTGAAACAGGAGTATAATTCCTCAGAAAGTAAAAATTCACTTCTTCTATGAGAACCTTCTTCTTGGATCACTCCTTAACTTCATTTCTTCACTTCCTGTTCTACCTGCCTTTGGGCTGTTTGTTCCTCTCTGATTCTCTTGAACTGTCATTGCTGTTTGGTCATTAGTGCAGTGTTTACCTCATCTGGACTAAGTCAATTTGCTTGCCTAAGCTAGTGAGAGACTCTACTAGTTTGTTTAAAGGTACACCCTTACCCGAAGCACCCTGTGCATAGTAGGTAATTGAATGAATTGAATTAAAAAATGAATGAATGGAGGAGCTCATTTAGTCCCAGGGTAACAAAAGAGGAGTATTGTTCTGGAGGTTGTGGATCTGCTGAGGTCAGATGTGCAGCAAAAGTGGACTTACTGTTGAGCTAGTGAGACATGGGAATCATCTTCAAGTATCTGTAGAAGTCTAACATAGAAGACTGCCTAGCTTATTCTGAAAAGTTTCAGAGAGCAAAATCGAGGGAAGTCAGTGTAGCTTGTTCCAGGGGAGCTGCCTTTAGCCAAACATACAGAAGAACTTTCTTTCTTTCCTTTTTTATTTTTTTGTGGATGATTTACCCTTTTTATCCCTTACTCTTACGTAAACTTAAAAAAGACAGAAAATCAAAGATAAGTAAATTATTTTCAGCTGTACCAAAGTTTAAGCACTTAAATTTGAGACAGCTTTATCAGTTGACTTTTCTTTGAGAGGGTTTTAAATAAGTTCAGTTGTGAAGACCATTACAAAGGTGGAAGAACTTTCTTACAGTAATAACTGTCTGATAGTAGAATGGTCTGCTGGGGGATGTAGTTCCTGAAAATAGTGAAACTGAAGTTAGACGTTTGTCTGCCAGGGAAGTGATGGAAATAGACACCCTCTGTAATGGGTCAAAAGTTCAACCAGAGTGCTTTCATAAAGCACTGGGAAAAGGAGGACTGTGCAGAGGTGGAAAGATATTAAATACGGCCAAACCACTTTCCTTTCCTTTTTTTTTTTTTTTGGCTGCACTGCATGATTTGCAGGATTTTAGTTCCCGGACCAGGGATTGAAGCCACGCCCTCGGCAGTGAAAGCACCGGGCCCTTGGACTGCCAGGGAATTCCTTTTGCTTTTTTTAATATTTATTTATTTATTTATTTATGGCTGCATCGGGTCTTAGTTGCAGCATGTGGGATCTTTTTTTTTCTTTTTAAATATTTATTTATTTTTGGCTGCATTGGGTCTTCCTTGCTGTGTGCGGGCTTTCTCTAGTTGCGGTGAACGGGGGCTACTCTTCATTGCAGTGCACTGGCTTCTCATTGCAGTGGCTTCTTTTGTTGCGGAGCTCGGGCTCTAGGCACGCGGGCTTCAGTGGTTGTGGCATGCAGGCTTCAGTAGTTGTGGCTCACGGGATCTAGAGTGCAGGCTCAGTAGTTGTGGCACACGGGCTTAGTTGCTCCATGGCATGTGGGATCCTCCTGGACCGGGGCTCAAACCCGTGTCCTCTGCATTGGCAGGTGGATTCTTAACCAGTGTGCCACCAGGGAATCCCGGCATGCAGGATTTTTCATTGTGGCCCATGGGCTCCAGAGTGTCTGGGCTCTGTAGTTGAGGCACGCAGGCTCTGTAGTTGTGGATCATGGGCTCAGTAGTTGTGGCACGTGGGCTTAGTTGCTCCTCAGTACCTGGCATCTTAGTTCCCCAACCAGGAATCGAACCCATATCCCCTGCATTGGAAGGTGGATTCTTAACCACTGCACCACCAGGGAAGTCCCCATACTTTCTTTTTTAATACCAATGATATTGTGTCTCTTTAGGAAGTTGAGTTCAGTAAACTCCACGTGTACTTGAAACTCCTCCAGTGATTCAGAGATCAAGGGCAAAGACTTTTTACGGACTTGGTAATCATTAAACAACCACAATATTTCCTAGACTGTGATTAAGAAAAGCCTATAGTATGTTTCTGATTATAAAAAGAATGCATTATTGTAGAAAGTTTATTTGATTATTGTAGAAAGTTTGTCAGCTCTAGGGAAATAGGAAATCATTGATAATTGTATCACTGACATACTCCTGTTAACATTTTGCGATGTTTCCTTTTACTCTCTTTAAAAAACTAAACAAACAAACAAAAAAACAAAATGAAAAGAAAAAGACTCTTTCTCAACCCTCTACCTTCTAGTCCTGTTCTCCAGAGGCTGCCATTTAAAATTATTTTGATGGTTACGTCCATATCTATAAATAATGTGTTTATACCTGTATTTCTTGATCCATCAACTTCAAAAAATATCTATTTCTGTCCTCTATGAAAGACAAAGAATTTAGCTCATTGACCCAGCTCCCTAGCTTCCTTTTTCTCTCTTCCTCTTTCTCTCAGTCTTCTAATTTTGTGTGATTATGTTCTGTTCTTCTGTAGGTTACCTTTATACCTAAAAGTAATCTGCCATCAATTTTATTGTATTTATTTGGCCACGCCACACAGCTCGCAGCACCTTAGTTCCCCGACCAGGGATTGTACCTGAGGCCACGACAGTGAAAGCCCTGAATTCTAACCACTGGATCGTCAGAGAACTCCCTTCCCCCTCCTTTTTTTTTTTCCATCAATTTTAGGCTCTAGTTCTTCCTTTCTTTTTCCTTATTTCACATATAACATTGTATAAGTTGAAGGTGTACAGTGTGTTGATTAGATACGTTTATATATTGCAATATGATTACCGCCATACTGTTAGCTAACACTTCCATCATGTCACATAATTATCTTCTTTGTGTGTGTGTGAGAACATTTAAGATCTAGTCTCCTAGCAACTTTGAAGTATGTGATACAGTATTTTGACTATAATCACAAGTGCATGACAAACTTGCAGTTAGAAGATAAGTTCTGGAGATCAAATGAGATTTTTTTTTTCAGTTTATAGTCTTTTTTAAAACTGAGACATAATTGACATATAACATTATATTAGTTTCAGCTGTTACAGCATAAGAATTTGAAATGATCACTACAATAAGTCTAGTTAACATCCATCACCATACATAGTTACATAATTTTTGTTCTTGTAATGAGAACTTGCAATGTCTACTTTCTTTTTTTTATAAATTTATTTATTTTTATTTTTGGCTACCTTGGGTCTTCATTGCTGCAGGCGAGCTTTCTCTAGTTGCGGCGAGCGGGGGCTGCTCTTTGTTGCGGTATGGGGACTTCTCATTGTGGTGGCTTCTCTTGTCGCAAAGCACGGGCTCTAGGCATGCGGGCTTCAGTAGTTGTGGCTCGTGGGCTTAGTTGCTCCGCGGCATGTGGGATCTTCGCGGATCAGGACTGGAACCCGTGTCCCCTGTATTGGCAAGTGGATTCTTAACCTTGCGCCACCAGGGAAGCCCTCAATATCTACTTTCTTAACAGTACTGTATTGTGTATTTGAAAGTTCTAAACTATAGTCACCATGCTGTACATTATATCCTCATCTCAGTGCCCCTTTGTGTAAGACAAGAGGTTTAGCGCTCCCAATAAAATTTTCAGAAAGAGCAATAGTAAATAAAGTCTCTAGGTTCTTGCTTTCTGAAAATGTTGATCTGACTGTGGAATGCTAGGTTCAGAAAAATTTTTCTTTGAAGTTTGAAGTTGTTGCTATGTTGTTCCCCCAAGTCCTGTGCTACCAAGTTAGAATTCTTCTCATTCCTTGTTATCCTCTCTAGAAGCTTTATCCTCTTTATTCTTGATGTCCTGAAATTTCATAAGAGTGTCTACATGGGTCTTTTTTCATTCAGTGTGTTCTATACTTTTAACCGAAAGACTCATGTCTTATCTCTGAGAAATTTTTATATTTTCATTTCCTTTCCTCTAATTTTAAAATTCCCTATCTCTGGAACTTCTTGTTAGATAGATGTTGGACTCGCTGAATTGACCCTCCTTCTCAACTCTTTAGAATTTCTTTTTCTCTTTTCCCCTCTGTTCTGGGAGATTTTCCTAATTTTTTCTTTTAATCATCCTAAAGAGCCTTTATTTTAGCAATAATGGGATTGATTCCTAAGAATTCTCTGCTAAATAATAGCACTTATCCTATTAGTTAAAGGTGCTTTCTTTGCTGGTTTTAATTATAAAGGGCCCAATATCTCTTCCTGAGCCATTCTGGATGAATGAGGCTTATGGAATGAGTAGGCATAGATGGATGGGAGTAGGGAGGGGTGAAGGTAGGGGAGCTGATACTAAAGATCGTCATCTTGAGGGATAAGGTACTGGTGGACCTCCTCAGTGGAGGTAATAATTCTCCCTCCTGATGGGTGGGCGGTAGTCCTTTAGAACAAAAAGATGTGTATCATGTCTTATGAGCTCATAGTACAAATATTTGACAGACTTGGAGTCATCTTAGGGTCACAGAGTTGCAGTCATTAACTTCAAAGTTTATATGGCGAGAAGGCTGGGAGTAATGACCAAGGAAAGGGAATAGTGCCGTCCCAATTGGGTTGGAGGAATTCCCCCTTTAAATCTATTTTATTAGTTATCTATTACTATGGAACAAATTAGTCCAAAACTTAGCAGCTTAAAAATAAACATTTTTTTAAAAAAATCTCAGTTTCTATGGGTCAGATATTTGGGAGCAGCTTACCTGACTTCAGGGTCTGTCATGAGGTTGCTGTTATTAATATGCAGGCTCTGCCTAAGGTCACCTGAAGGCTTGACTGGGGCTAGAAAATCTGCTTCTAAATTGACACACCCACATGGCTTTTGGCAGGAGGTCTCAGTTCCTTACCAAGTGGACCTCTCCATAGAGCTACTTGAGTGTCCTCACGATGAGGCTGGAAGTTTACCTTGCTGTGAGTGATCTGAGAGAGAGAACAAAGAGGAAGCCACATTGTTTTCTATGACCTAATCTTGGAAGTCGCACACTGTCACTTCTGCCATATTCTATTTGTTACAAGTGAGTCAGAGCTCAGCCCATAATCAAGGGAAGGGGAACTAAGCTATCTTTTGAAGGGAGGAGTATTGGAGAATTTGTGGACATATTTTAAAACCGTGACAATCAACGTTCCTTAACAACACTTAGCATACTTTGAACTTTATTCCATTACTTGAACTATATATATCATTGATTCCATAATTATTGAGTGTGTTATCTGAATCATTGCCTACCATTTTTATTGACATATAGTTGATGTACAATGTTATATAAGTTACAGATGTACATATAGTGATTCACAATTTTAAAGGTGAATACTCCATTTATAGTTATTATAAAATATGAGCTATATTCCCCATGTTGTACAATATATCCTTGTAGCTTATTATATACTTAATAGTTTGTTCCTCTTAATCCCCTACCCTTATATTGCCCCCCCTTCCCTCTCCCCACTGGTAACCAACTAGTCTGTTCTCTGTGAGTCTGCTTCTTTTTTGATAACAAAAAGAATATAATATAAATTCTCTAGTTTGTTATATTTTTTAGGTTCCACATATAAGAGATATCATACAGTATACGTCCTTCTATGACTTATTTCACTAAGCATAATGCCCTCCAGTTCTATCCATGTTGCTGCAAATGGCAAAATTTCATTCTTTATTATGGCTGAGTAGTATTCCATTGTGTGTGTGTGTGTGTGTGTGTGTGTGTGTGTGTGTGTGTGTGTATCACATCTTTATGCATTCATCTGTTGATGGACACTTAGGTTGCTTCCATATCTTGTGCTATCTACTATTTTTACCATCCATTATGGGGAACCATTCTATTCTTAAGAATGATATCTTCCTAACAGTGTTTTTTTTGCCTTCTCAGGTGCTTGTTGGGTTTCTTCTTATTCTGGCAGTCATAGATCTGGCCCTTGCACTCACAGAAGACACTGGACAAGCCACAGTCCCTGCCGTTAGATATACCAATCCAAGCCTCTACCTGGGCACATGGGTGAGGCCCATCATCACTTCTATCCTGTTTATCTTCTCTCTACTCATAGCCATCCAGCTGAAATTTGCTCCTATGGAATGAAATAAAGTCCAATTTCGTCTACCTTTTTCAAGGGACCTATGATGAAGCAAAGCTTGGTTGTAATAGGGTGAAACCAATTTTAGCTTTTCATTTGCTTTTAAACACTACTTTTAATGCCTTCTTCCTAAGGTACGTATTAGCTTTAATGATTAACGTGTAACTTATGCCCTCATATCTTGCCATCTAAGGATCACAGATGAAATCCAAGTTTCTTGATGTAAAAGAATTTTCTACATGCTGTAAACATTATTTTTAAGTTGATTGGTGACTCTAATCAATGGATCACTGAGTCTAGACTTTTTTGTGTAAATTTGATGACAGAAACTTATGTCTCTCCTACAGGCAGGGTTTTTTGTGGGGGGAGGGAGAGCTGTACAGTGTTTAAAAAAACAATTGAATTCGTTACCATCATTTTATTTTATTTATTTATTTTTTATTTTTGGCCTCATCATGCGGCTTTTGGGATCCTAGTTCCCCAACCAGGGATCAAACCCAGGCCCCCAGCAGTGAAAGTGCCAAGTCCTAACCACTGGACCGCCAGGGAATTCCCGTTACCATCATTTTTGTTTTTTTGTTTTTCGTTTTTGTTTTTGTGGTATGCAGGCCTCTCACTGTCGTGGCCTCTCCTGTTGCGGAGCACAGGCTCCGGACGCGCAGGCCCAGCGGCCATGGCTCACGGGCTCAGCCGCTCCGCGGCATGTGGGATCTTCCCAGACCGGGGCACGAACCCGTGTCCCCTGCATCGGCAGGCGGACTCTCAACCACTGCGCCACCAGGGAAGCCCCGTTACCGTCATTTTGAAAGAGGAAGATACAACATAATTATTTTGATTCCTAAACTTTCTTGAAAAATCAGAATGCCTGGCAACTTTGGGCCGACATTCCCACAGGGCAGCGGTCAGCTAGGACTGAGTAGCAGTTGGTTGCATTAGACCAGGTATGTGCTCAGTACTGTCCTCCACCCTCACTTCACTCAGTAACATGCTCTGCTTGGCCCCTGTAAGGACTTCGTTTTGTCACTGTTGTTATAAAACAGAGAAGAGTCTAGAGAGCAGTGCGCTGGAGCCAGCTCACGGAGCTGACTGCGCCTCTCTTCCCAATCCTGAGTTTGGTGACATCATGTTGGAGATCGAAATCCACCGCGGTGGGAGTATTTATACCATGGAAATTCACACATGCCACAAATCATGGCTTTGTTTTCAGAATGCCAGTTTACTAGCACAGCACTGGGTCTGGGAAAGCAACATTTAATTAATTATAACTAAGTGAATAATGCGAGGCAAAGTTTTTTGTTGTTGCTAATTGCTTAGTTTAATATTATTAGAAAATATTGTGATACAGACGCCTTGCACCTATTCAGCAGAATCTGCCTCCCCAACCTGATTACTGTAGTGCCTGAAATTATTTTCTTGGGCCTCAGAAAGATTTTTCTGGCTCCCAAAGTTATTCCATTTAGATGCAGGTGGTGACCCTCTGCGTTCTTCTCTGACCCCCTGCCCAAGTGTGGTGAATAGAGATGGGATAGAGAAGGGAGTTGCAGAGAGAGCACTGGGGTCCTGAAAGAAAAAGTCGGATGGTATCAGGGAGGAAATGTACTATTTGGCGTCAGATTAGTTACAACAATCTCCCCCTTCAGCCCCCGTTTCTTCCCCTGTTCTCTGACATCCTTCTTGCCTCTTGTCCTTGGTGTTAGTGACAATATTTTTCAAAACATGATGTGAATTTCTCGCTAGATCCTGGTTTTGCTGATCCAACACAGCAGGCGATGGTGTGTACAGAAGGACTCTTGGTTCCTGTCCGTGTTCTGGATTCTCTCAATACTCTGTGGCACTTTCCAGTTTCAGACTCTGATCCGGACACTCTTAAGGGTAAGGAGGAAAGAGATGGTGATATGAGGAGGTACCGCTGGGCAACTTCTAAGTTGGAGTAAATGACATAAGGTAAATTGAGTTGCAGGGTAGGATTGTATTTAGGGGATTTGATAATAGACTTTAATCACAAGCATTGATACATAGGGGCTGTTTAGACTTAATTCAGATAAAAGGCTCATTTTCTTTGTCCCCTCCCACAGGGCAGCAACCCTAACCTGGCCTATTCCTGTGTGTTCCTCATCTGCTATGCACTCCAGATCCTGGTCCTGATCCTTTCAGCATTTTCAGAAAAAAATGACCGATCAAAAGTGAGACTCTAAATATGACCCCTTCATATATTATTTAATTGGATGGTATCTTGACAGATGTAACTTGGAGATGTCTAGGTCTCATGAAGGTCCCCCAAGCCCAGAATATAGTAGTATAGTCCGTTTTGTGATGTAAGGAAACAAAGTGACTAGAATTTGGAGACACTGACTTTTTTTTTTTTTTTTTTTGCGGTACGCGGGCCTCTCGCTGTTGTGGCCTCTCCCGTTGTGGAGCACAGGCTCTGGACGCGCAGGCTCAGCGGCCTTGGCTCACGGGCCCAGCCGCTCCGCGGCATGTAGGATCTTCCTGGACCGGGGCACAAACCCGTGTCCCCTGCATCGGCAGGCGGACTCTCAACCACTGCGCCACCAGGGAAGCCCGGAAACACTGACTTTTATATTGACCCACCAAGCTTCAGCATAGACAGTTAATTCATACATCTGTGCCAAAAATTCTGGTTATCATTCTACTGGTGACCTTAGCGTCTCCAAACAAACACGTTGACCAGCCTACTTCAGTGTCATATCTAGTTTCTAGCACAACATCATATTTAGAAAACTCAGCTTCTGATTTTAGAGTTCCATAGAATTCCTGTTTCTAATTGATTTACTGTCTGATTTTTTGTGTGTCTTGCAGCATCCTTCAACCACAGCTTCATTTCTGAGTAGCATCACCTTTAGTTGGTATGACAGGTAGGAAATACCTGGAGTGTGGCTTGTCTATATCCCTCCCCCCTCCCCCTCCTGAAAGTGATGGAAATCTTAATTTTAAAAGTGCCTGCCATGGCTTCCATTTCTCCTCTACTTAGCGTCAGAGAATGTTAAAACATACAGATCAGTTTACTGCAGTCCCTTCACTGGGCAGATGGGGAAGCTGAGGAGAGGAAGGAGGGGGGTTTGCTCTTGGTAGCCTGAGGAGTTCCATGAAAAAAAAAAAGGATAGGAGGAAAAGGAGGCAGTAGGACAGGAAAAGGGAAATTTGGGGTCAAGGAGTGTGGTACAGACTCGGGTAAGGGATGAAATAGCTGTTCTGGGCTTCCAGAGGATCTGGAGCAGCCGTCCTTGGCCTTTGTAGTTCCACGGACCCCTTTGGCAGCCTGGTAACACCCATGAATCCCTTCTCAGATGATGTTTTAAATGTGTACAATAAAAGACATGGGATTATAAAGGGAAACAAATATATTGAAATGTAGTTACCAAATTTGTGATATAGTAATACATGTGCTTCTTTATTAATGCATTAAATATCAAGACCTAATGCTGGCTGGGTTTAATAGTTTCAAAGCAGTGATGAGTGTAAATGAGCCATGAAAACATCTGTGACTTTTGTTACCTGGTAACAAGTACTGTTTTAGAACTGTGGTGGGTTGACTACATTCATATTAGAAGGAAAGGCTAAATTTCAGTTAGAAGCTAATAAAAGTAAAGATGTAATTTATTTTCCATCCATGTTCTCAAATCCCAGGTTGAGGAGCCCTGATCTAGAGAGAGAGTATTAGAGGCACCCCCAGGTTTGCTCAGTTCCTTAAGGGCATCGTGGAGGCTCCTCAGGGAGATGCCAGGGCAGCAGAGAGGCAGCCAGTGTTTGAGAAGGAAGGAACAGGATCGGGGGAGGTGATGTGCTTTTGGCTCTCAATTCAGTAGGACTTCTTCCCCTTCTCTTGTTTTCTCCCACCTTCCATCACCCCCACCCACTCCCTTTTCTGCTCTCCCCACTCCTCTTTTGAGTTCCAAGAGCTAGGAGCTGGGATAGTAGAGCAAGGGAGAAGCCCCATTCTTCTGTCCCTCCATCCTGGGACTGGATGGTTTTGACAGAGGCAGCGAGGAGACAGCCTCTGGTCCCACCTGCAGGGCCTCAGCCTGTGGGTCACTCTTGTTCCAGCATTGTTCTGAAAGGCTTCAAGAAACCTCTGACGCTTGAAGATATCTGGGATATTGATGAAGAGACTAAAACAAAGACACTAGTCAGCAGGTTTGAAAAGTACATGGCAAGAGAGCTGCAGAAGGCCCGGCAGGCATTCCAGAAACGGCAGCAGAAGAACTCCCAGCGGAACCCTGGAGCCAGGCTGCATGGTTTGGACAAGAACCAGAGTCAGAGCCAAGATGTCCTTGTCCTGGTAACTTTCCCACAAGTGTCTCTTCGAATGTGCTGTATGTCTTTGGCAAGAGGACACCAATGTCCTGGTGAATCCTTTCATTTTGACAGCACTTTATACTTTACAGTGCATTTTATATTATTAGTAATATTCACAATACTAATAGTACCTTAGTGATGGATACATGGGAGTATAATGTAGTACTGATCTCTCTCATTTGGGGTATATTTGAAATTTTCCACAATAAAATGTTTTTTTTTTAATAGAAAAATAAAAGAATACCTTAGCATTACTAGAATCTGCACGTTGGTGGGATTTAGCATTAGCAGCTAATTTATTTTTTTATTCACTTGAAAATATTGAGTACCACTGTGTGTCAGAGACCATTCTGGGCACAGGTATAAGGATCAGCCTGAAAGAGTATTAAGAAAACATGTTAAAGTGTCTGGCGTGAAGTGCTTCCTTAGAGTAACAGGAGAGGCTTCTCAGAGGAGATGACATTTGGGTAAAGATCCAAGCGATGAAAAAAGCCCATGAGAAGGAAGCGTATTTCACTCAGAGGGCGCAGGATGGGGGAGGCCGAGAGGGGAACATGGTCGGCTTGTTTAGAAGAGAAAGAGGATGCGGGAGCATGGAGAGAGAGGCTGAGTGAGGCGTGAGGTGAGCTCGGGGAAAGGGGCAGGGATTAAGTGGTGTAGACCCTCATGGGCCATGGTGAGGAGCCTGGATTTTATTTTAACTCTGATGGAAAGCCGGTGGAAAGTTTTGAGCAGAGGTGTAATGCAGTCAGATTTACATTGTTAAAAGCCCACTGAAGCAGCTGCCAGGAGAACGGATGGTTGGGAGGCAAAAGTGGAAGCTGGGAAGCAGGTTGAGGCAGGTGTTCAGGCAAGAGACCAATCAGATGGGACCTCAGTGAGAGGAATTACAAGACGATGTCACTGAGGCTGAGAGGCTGGAATTGGGGGCCTGGTGGGGACTCCTGAGACAGGAAAAGGAAGAGGTGGGAGAGTGGGTGGTGATATCCCATGTAGTAGATTCCCGGGGTCGCTGAAACAAAGCACCACGAACTGCGTGGCTTAAGACAACAGAAATGTATCGTCTCACAACTTAGGAGGCCAGAGGTCTGAAATCAAAGCATCAGCTGGGCCATATGCTCCCTCTAAAACCCGTAGGGAAGAAACCTTCCTTGCCTCTCCCACCTTCTGGGTTTTACCAGCCGTCCTTGGTGTTCCTTGGCTTGTGGATGTTTTCACTCCACTCTCTGCCTCTGTCATCATGTGTCCTCTTCCTCCATGTCTGTGTCTCTTCTTACAAGGGCACTAGTCATATTGGAGTAAGACCCATTCCATGACACACTCTAATGACCTCATCTTGATGACATCTGCAAAGGCCCTATTTCCAAACAAGGGCACGTTCTAAGGCACCGGGGGTTAGGACTTGAACATAACTTTTGGGGGGATTCTATTCGACCCATAACATCCCACAATGACCATGAGCAAGAAGAGAATGAAAAGGCTTTTAAGCATCCGAAATATATATATATAAAATCACGCCCATGCCCTTCCCTCCCACAATGCCCCACAGTCCCCCAGTCAGAGGCTGCTCTTTGCTTTTACATGGTATTCTCACCAGGTTTGTTGCCTGTTTTCCTAATCCAAAATAGATCCGAAGTATCAGGAGGGAGAGAGGGGGGAAGAGTGATAGCAGCTAAAAGGGTGAATGGGATCAGGCAGTGGAGAGAAGACAGAAACCTGTACAAAGAGGGCAGCAGGGCTCAGGGGCTAACACTTGGGAACTGTTCAGTAAAGACAAAGTCTTCCACCACGCAGCTCTGCAAGCACTGATGTTGTCTGGTTTTGTACCCAGGAAGAAACTAAAAAGAATAAAAAGAAGTCTGAGATCACTAAAGACTTCCCCAAGTCCTGGTTGGTGAAAGCCCTCTTCAGAACTTTCTACGTCATCCTCCTGAAATCATTCCTGCTGAAGCTGGTGTATGACATCCTCATGTTCCTGAATCCTCAGCTGCTGAAGTGAGTCCCCAGGCCCTGGCTTGTCCTTGCAGGGCCTCCTCTGCCACTCTGCTTTTTGCCCCTTGTATATGTAGGCAGGAGACTATTGTGTTCATGAAAAGCACAAGGCATTTTTCAAGATCTAAAATGATCTGAAAAATCATTTAGATCATTTAGCCTCCCTCTTTTCCACGTCCTTCTCCTCGTAGGAAGCCAGATGCTTCTTAGGGGTGCTTTCTTCTTAAACAGAACTGCTGTGAGCCGAGTCATGTCCAAAACGTGGGCCTCATACCCCAGGAGAGGCGTGTACATAGTCTCTGTAACCTCATTGCTCCACAGTCACGCATTCAGTGGGAGGTTCAGGTTAATCATGACAGGACTTCAGTCTGCCAGGATCTATGGAATGAACTATCCTCCAGGGGAAACCCTTCTAACTCACGCTGGATACATGTCCTAATTCCTTTCCAGGAATCAATCAACTTGCTACATAACATCCTCTTTTACCAGAGGGTAGGGAAAGAGAGTGTCAAAGCATTGCAGTGGCAGCTTTGTGGAGCACACATTATCCCGTCTCACGGTCATGGGTCGTCAACCCTTAGCCCTTGCTGCCTATCTCCAAAAAAGGCAAGAGTGCTGGCATGGCTGTGGAGCTCAGTCTTCCAAGAGCATTGAACAATTCTGGTCACTTTTGTTACCAACCGGGTAGGATAGCGTAGCTGGCTGTGCACAAGGAGGGTGAAGAGCCCTCGGAGGCTTGACAGCGCCACTTACTTGGTTTTGCTCTGGCAGATTGCTGATCTCCTTTGCAAATGACCATGACATATATTTGTGGACTGGGTATCTCTACTCAATCCTCTTCTTCGCCGTGGCCCTCATCCAGTCTGTCTGCCTTCAGTATTACTTTAAACTGTGCTTTATGCTGGGCATGAAAGTACGGACCACCATCATGGCTTCTGTATATAAGAAGGTAAGTGGAATATGCCAGGCATCACCAAAGAAAATCCCCTTTGTAAACGTGAGCATTTCTTCCCAGATTGAGGAAAATTTGACGGAAATGATAACTGATCTCAACACTGGATTTTGGCTAAACACACAGCCTTCTTTAGATATTTCTTTGGAGATGAAAATGAAAAGTGTGTATACAGACATAGAGCGTCTGTGTGTGTGGGGGTGGGGTGCACTCCAGGGAAAAGCCGGCAAGCTGTTCTCTGCCCGGGATCTGCCTTTCAGCTTTGAAGGCTTGCATACCGTCCCTCTCTTCCTTCCTCTCTCCACAAGGTGACAACACCTTGGGATAGAATGTAAAGTCAGAAAAGAAGCTGGCCAAGGGCAGACTCTTCAAATCACCAACATTTAAAGCAAATACTACATGAAACTTGGCTCATAAGACCTGGTGTGTCCATCTCAAATCACAATTTTGCCATAGACTAGAACGCTCTGTGAACCAGGACTCCATCTCCTCGGACTGACTTTTGCCTAGCAACTTCTTTTTCTCAGTCTTGAGTAACGACCAACACGTCCTCTGCCTGATTCCTTTTTTGGATTTGTAAATGCCTTCAATATTTGGATTTGTAAATAACTTCCCAAGTTCTGCAGACTTGGGAGCTATTCCATTTCTTTAAGATGATTTTCCCCATCTTCCCTCTGACACGTTGCTTTTAATGTTTAACTTTCTCAGAGCAACTTTATTTCCCTCCGTCCTAGACACCAAGGTGAATTCTCATTTTTTCCCTTAAGAAATGAAAGTAGAGTCAAGTATATCTCAATTTAAAAAATAAATAAAAAGAAATGAAAATAGTGACTACAAGCCTGAGGAGAAAATTCATCCATTAGGAGATGATGATACTTTTTATAGGTCAGAACATCAGTCGGTTGCCTTTTCTTCCTCTTTTTCATCCACCACTGGAGTGTTCCATCATAGTGATTTCTCTGTTACAGTTCCTGATTTTATCCTTTGCTTTCCTCTCTTAAGACTCCAGTGTGTCTTTTGTCTTTCCTGAGTAGATGCTGACTCGTCGAGAGACCCAGAGGGGTGATCCAAATGTCTTTAGATCAGAAGTCTGGTCAAGTTCTTTGAACTCCCAGATACCCTCACACTGGAATTTGTCTTCTCCAAAATTAAAATTTTAATCCCCTTATTCCTTCTGGAGATACTGTATTTCTGCTGGTTTGCAGCATATGAGGTCACTAACCAGGCTGTCTCAGACATTTCTATGAACGTACACTTTTACAATTGTGATGATTCATTTCCACTACTTTGATTCTTAATATTGATATGTTCCAAGTTTTGCAACTGTTACAATCCATAAGGATAGAGCCCTTAATGAGACCTTCATTCAAATAAATATTGCTACTAAAATAGAATTTTTTTTTAAAGATTTTGTTTGACGTGGACCATTTTTAAAGTCTTTATTGAATTTGTTACAGTATTGCTTCTGTTTTATGTTTTGTTTTTTTGGCCCCAAGGCATGTGGGATCTTAGCTCCCTGACCAGGGATCGAACCTGCACCCCGGGCATTGGAAGGCGAAGTCTTAACCACTGGACCACCAGGGAAGTCCCTAAAATAGAATTTAAAATTGACTAATTTTATATGTTTAGATTATGCTTCATTTATGAAATGTTATGAAACATTTTTTACATCCATTATCAATTCTTAGCCCTGGGAAGTAACTGCATTACCCCTAGTTTACAGAGAAGTAGGGCTTAGATCACTTCAATGCCTAGAATCACATAGACAGGACCTGCCTCTAGACAAGGGCTATTGGGACTAAATTAATGACTTTACCACTTTACAAAGATTTATTGAAAAAAGAAAAGTATAGTGATTACCTTGAAGGGTAATTAGATGTTACTTTTTGTTTTTGTTTTTCAATACCAAAGGGGAGGCATAGCAGTGAAATGATGTCTCTAGAACCTTGGTAGCCTAACATTTTAGGAAATTTCCTTCTTTTTACTGTACAACCAAGAATCCTGATATATTCTAAAGACTTTATTGATGGAGTAAGATGACAGTAGAGCTTCTAGGAGGAGGATGAAGGTGATCTCTAGGGCCACTCATAGCCCATATACTGCCTTGTGGGAATTAGAAGAAGGCTTTCATTCCTCTGGAAAGATGTAGCCCACACCAGAGGGTGGCTTGGTGAGCGTAGTACAAGCTGGTTTCATGCAGCCACCACCCACCCCCCAGCCCCTTGTCTGGGAGCATTTGTACAAGGCACTGCTGTAAGTGACAGACTGTGGGTGTCAGCCTTCTGATCTCTCTAACAAGAGAACAAGAGGCTCATGCTGCAAGATTCAGGCATCTAGATATTGCCCTCAAATTCCTGACAATAAGTCATTTTTGCTTCCAGTGTGTGAACCCCGCAGCCTTCCTCACCATTCTAAGATCTCTGTCCTCCTTGGGAATGGTTGCAACCTCCTCACAGTATGGCTCCAAATAACATTGCCACATTAAAGTCTGCAAGGCAAGAATGAATACATGCTTCTTCCTTTCATCCCTCCGTTCCTTCCATCCTTCAGTATTTGGTTTCCCTACTGTGTGCATGTGAAAGCGGTAGTGAATTGGACAGATGTAGCCCTTGTCCTTACAGAGTTTACAACTGGTGGAGAAATAGAAAAACAAAATTACGCAGTGAAGTGTGGTGAGTGTCATGGCAGAGGTAAGCACGGGTTGTTAGGGGAATACACAGGAGAAATATCTCACCTAAACTTGGGAGTCAGGGAAGTCTTCTGAGAAGAAGTTCCATCTAAGTTGACACTAAGAGATAAATAGGACTTTTCTGAGCAAAAAAAGTGTGTGGAGGAACAGATGTTGGGGAAGGTAGGAATAGCAGGAAAGAGTGGCCAAGAATGAGAGAACACTGTGTGTAAGATTTAGTGGCAAGGACTTCCCTGGTGGCGCAGTGGTTGAGAGTCCGCCTGCCGATCCAGGGGACATGGGTTCGTGCCCCAGTCCAGGAAGATCCCACATGTCGTGGAGCAGCTGGGCCCGTGAGCCATGGCCACTGAGCCTGCGCATCCGGAGCCTGTGCTCCGCAACGGGAGACGCCACAGCAGTGAGAGGCCTGCGTACCTCAAAAAAAAAAAAAAAAAAAAGATTTAGTGGCAAGAAGATCCCAGCCCTTTGGAAAAGTTGTGTCCATATGGAGCCCATCCTTCTACTGTCTTTCACTTCCTTCCTGAATTTCCCTCTCACTCCCCAGTATCCTTGGCCTTGTCCAGGTGTCCCAATTCCAATCTTTGTTTTTAGGCGCTGACTCTATCCAACCAGGCCAGGAAGCAGTACACCATTGGAGAAACAGTGAACCTGATGTCTGTGGACGCCCAGAAGCTCATGGACGTGACCAACTTCATCCACCTGCTGTGGTCAAATGTTCTACAGATTTCCTTGTCCATCTACTTCCTGTGGGCAGAGTTGGGACCCTCAGTCTTAGCAGGTGTTGGGGTGATGGTGCTCCTAATCCCAATTAATGGGGTAATTGCCACCAAGAATAGGGCTATTCAGGTAAAGAAACAGTCACTGGGGACATGTTTATGTTCTTCAAAGTCTAAAGTCTTTTATTTCCTCTATTCTGACTTGTGATTGGAGTTGAGCAATGCAAAGCTGGTAGAAGACTTGCCGCTGTCTCAGATGAGCTTGGCTTTATCTTCCCTTTTCATCTTCTCACCACTCTTAGGGTTTATATACTCTGTCTTGATTCATGTTCCTCATTGGAAAGAGAAGAGCTGCCCAGGGACCCTGCATGTAACTCTTACACCCTGCTCCACTGGGCTGTTATTGGCCCTGTTTCTCCATCATAATAATGCAAACCAGCCACACAGAGCAGTCACATGAGCAACCCAAACTTTAGGCCTAAATCCTGGCAATCAACCCTGCTACCACCAGGTAGCAGGGCTCCATGTGGACAGTTGTTAGCTATGCCGGAAATCATATTTTGGATGGGTGAACTCAGTGGCGTATGTCATTTAGTCCATTTGTTTTGCATTCATTTAGTTGCAAATATTTTAAAAATATTTTTTGTATATCCTATTTTGGGGGGAACACAGCAGCAAATTAGACAAGGCTCTTGCTCTTGTGGAACTTACGTTCTACTTGGGGTGGAGATTCAGGCCATAAACAAGTAAAAGCAAAGAAGGAAAATGTCAGTTATGATAAGTACTATGCAGAGAATTCAACAGGGTGATATGCTAGTGAGTGGGTGGGTGGCAGTGTTAGGTTATGGGATCAGGAATGACCTCTGTGAGGAGGGGACATTGAGCTGAGCTCTGGACAACACCAACCTGAATGTGAAGGAGGAAGCCATGGAAAAAACAACCTAGGAGGAGGGCACAGTCGGGCCAAGGCTGTTCAGGTTCAGAAAGAAGGTGGGTGTGGCAGGGGTGGGGAGGCAAGGAGGAGAGTGGGAGAGACAGCCCATCACTGGGCACCTCAAGTTCTCACCAAGTGACAGCCACAAGCACCACTGAGATTTAGTATCTGCAGCAAATCTGGACCCTCTCACATGGAAGTGTGTTCTGTGTTTGTTTCACTTTTTCCTGGCAGGTTAAAAATATGAAGTATAAAGACAACCGTTTAAAGATCATGAATGAGGTTCTCAGTGGGATCAAGGTAAGAAGCTGAGTGTAGGTGACTCTCTGGGCACAATGACGGCAACATTGGGTTCTTGGGCTTAACAAACTTGCTAGAGGTTGTGGACTTCTGCTTCTGGGCCTGTGATGTGTCCCATGACTTCTGATTCATTAGCCCGGAAGTCTCCTGTTTCTTGTCCTGGTACTCCTCTCAGGACCTCTTTTGATCATGATTTCTATTTAATTATGTTAAATGGCTTGTTTCGTTTTTGTATTTTACTGTAGAGATTGTCAAATGTGCACAAAAGTAAAGAGGATGGTTTAATGAAGCCCCATGGATTTGTCACCTAGCTCCAGCAACTATCAGCATGACCTAACTTGTTTCATCTATATCCCCACTCTCCACTTCATGCCCTGCTAGATTATTTAAAATCAAATCTCAGATATTTTGTCATTTCATTTGTAAATACTGGGTACGTATTTCTAAAATAAGGACTTCATTTTTTAACATAACCACAATACCAATAGCATACCTGAAAAAAAAAAAAACAGTCCTTTGATACCATTAAATTTCCCCAATTACCTCATACATGTCTTTTTAATTTTATTTTATTTTACCATTGGTTAGTTTGAATAAGGATCCAAAAACTGCCCACACATGGCATTTAGTTGACAGTGCTTTTGATCTACAGTAGTCATTTGGTCATTTTAGAGAAAACAAGTTGTCTTGTTCCAATGTTTCTTGTAAACTGGTGGTTAGATCTAGAGGCTTGAGTATATTTTGGCCTGTTTGTTTCTTGTGTTTGTTTGTTTGGGGTGGGGTTGAGGGGCAAGGATACTTTCAGAGAGTGCTTGCTTCCTAACTTAGCGATGATGAGTGTTTATGGGGTCCAGGCGTTGTCAGCCTGACTCATCCTTTATTGTGTTTCCTGCTGTTCTTTCACCCAGAGTAGTGATTTGTGGCCCCGGCAGCACATTTCAATCCCCTGGGAAGTTTGTAAACCCACTGAGGCTTGGGGCCTACTTCAAACCATTTTTTTGGACTCTCTGGGGGTGTGTGTATATATATATATATATTTTTTGAAAGCTCCCTAAGTGATTCTAATATGCAGCCAAAGTTGAAAACCACTGTCATAAAGGTTTTAGCAGCCACTGATGATCATTGCCTTATTCTGTTATTTCATTAGTAGTTGCAAAAGGGTGATGTTTTAATTCCATTATTCCTTTGCCATTGCTTAGGTGGAATTGTGTAATGAAGAATGATCTTTAATCAGCTAGTTGGTTACCCTAAAATAAAGTTTGTACAAGATAGGCAGGATAAATACAGGCTTCTTTGCTCTATTTACTAGATTTCAAAATAATGCATTTTCATCCTTCAAAGGTGACCAATAAATTCTTTTTTAATATATACGTTGTTTTTGAATTCATGGACTTTAATATTACCCTAAACCTCTTGAAAATGAAAAAGAGGCCCCTTTGAACATCCTGCTATTTCTCCACACAGAGCTCTATATGCCTTCTTGCCAATGTGGCAAGATGAAAACATAGACCTGATTTCGGGTCTCAGCTCTACCACTCACTAGGATGGTGACTTTGGGCAAGTTACTTAGTCTCTCTCAACCTGTTTCCTTATTGTTAAAATGGATGCAGTAATTCTGTTAGAGTAGGTGGCTACCTCTTCCTGGTTTGCCCAGAACTTTCTGGGTTTAGCACTGAAAGCCCCATATCCTGGGCAACCTTTAATCCCAGGCAAAGTGGGACAGTTGGTCACACTTAGGACTAAGTAAGATAATGTATATAGAACGTTGTATACCTAGTAAGTTGTCAACAAAGACAAGTTACCTTTCTGTAATCGCACTTTATAATCTGAATTTCTACTTCCCCAATTTTGGGGAGTATATCCTAAAACATGGGTGGATGGTATGCACCTGATGTCCTTTTGGGGCACCAGTGTAAGCTGTGCTGTTTTCTATCCTATTAGATCCTGAAATATTTTGCCTGGGAACCTTCATTCCAAAACCAAGTCCATGACCTTCGTAAGAAAGAGCTCAGGAACCTGCTGACGTTTGGGCAGTTGCAGTCTGTGATGATATTTCTCTTATACTTAACTCCGGTGCTGGTGAGTGACAGGAGTCAGTGGGCTGGGTCAGCTTCCTGGAGAAGAAGGTCTGTTTAGATAGACTGCCCGCACCTGTAGGCCTGACCCTGAAATCCAGGGGCTCATCAAGTCCTCATGCTGCTATTCCTACCTCATGTCCCCAAATCTAGTTTCACCCTTGTGCACAATTTGGTGGTCTTGCCGCCCAGAGCAAGTTTCCAGGGGGTTCAGCGTGAATGTGGTATCCAGGCATGGTCTGCGTGGGAAGGCTTCTCATCTTCTTGGGGAGGCCGCGTGGGTCTGTAGCGGAAGGAACACTGATAACAGGAGCCAGGAGACTCGAGCTCTGGTCCCAGCAATGCCATTAGTTGACTTTATGACCTCAGGCAAGATGTTTCCTCTTCTGGGCTCAGGTTTCTCATCTGTAACATGGGAGGGTTGAGATAATCCCTAAGACTCCTTCAACTGTGACACAGTACTGTGTTCCTGAGACTTAGAACAAGGCTGCTTGATCCCTGTTAGGAATAAATCACTGATGGCTTTGCTTTTCCAGGTGTCTGTGATCACGTTTTCCGTTTACGTCCTGGTGGATAGCAGTAATATTCTGGATGCAGAAAAGGCCTTCACCTCCATCACCCTCTTCAATATCCTGCGCTTTCCCATGAGCATGCTTCCCATGATAGTCTCCACCATGCTCCAGGTGGGTAGGAACTCTCACTGCTAACTGATTAGCTCTGGTTAAAAGCCTTAGAGTCCAGAATGACTGGTCTGTCATATCTCATTTCTAGCTTCTGCTGGTGAACCTTCAATTAGAGAGATTTTTTTGGTCTCTGGAGACCAACAGTTTGATTTAGTAAAATCACAAGCTCATTGAGCCCCAGTTTTTCTGACTATAAACTGAGGATAATCATCCTAGTCTCATCCATCTCCTTGTGAGGTATTTATGGAGCATTAGGGAAACATGGCACAAAAGGAGAGAAAAGGCTTCTCTTTGGATGAAGCCACATACATGGTGGTAAAACCAAATGCAACCTGGGAGCCTCAAGGTGTCAGAAAATGGGCCGTAGGGAGTGTTTGGGTCCTGAAAACTGAGCACAGTCACTGAGATAGACCAGGTACCAGACCTCAGGAGGACGTTCACAGGGCAGGTGGCAGACTGGTGAGGCAGCCAGGATGACAAAGTGTGGCGACCTGCATTCATCCTGGAGGTGGCTGGCTTCAGACAGCTCAGGCCATAGGAAGGACTGGGGTTTAGGAAAAGACCTCTCCTGGTACTGGAGGGTGTTAAGGAAGGCTGATAGATTTGGCTGATAAATAACATGCTCTTTTTAGATTCAGATAGTTTATCGCATAGAGAGCAAAAGCAGGATCAGCAGTGGTGACAGCTCCCTGCATGACAAAGGGGCCTGATGACCATGGCATGTGGGCAGTGAGGCACCGTATGGGTCATGGACTCAGTTAAAGAAGAACATGCCAGGGGCCCAGTTACCAGAACCAGACAGAAGTTTTGTCTTAGAAGAAGGCAGAAGACAGTTTCTGGAACTAGGTCCAAAGAGAGCAGTAGAACTGACCTCCCCCCACACCACAGTGAGTTTTCTGAGGGGCTGAAATAGAGCATCTTAATTTCCCTCTGTTCAGAGTGGGCTGGCCCCCAGGGCTGAGGTGTGGCTGAATCACGCTGGGGAGGGGGGCTGAGGGTAGGGGGCCAGAGGTTCCAGGTGTGGCAAATAGCAAATCATGGGCAAGAAGCTTGGCAGGTTGACTATCTGCTTCCACATCCAAGGCTGATGACGAAGTCAAACTCCTCTACTTGTGCTTGTCACTGAGGTTTTTTTATCCTTTATGTCCTTCTCTAGGCCAGTGTTTCCGTAGAACGGCTAGAGAAATATTTGGGAGGGGATGACTTGGACACATCTGCCATTCGACATGACTGCAATTTTGGTAAGTGAATTTGGAAGTTGCATCCCATATATATTCACAGTGCTGGCACCAGTACTTTGCAGCAAGAAACTGATGGAAAGGGAAAGCTAGGGGACTTACCTTGCACCTATATTTGCACAGTATCCATACCATTATTACTTAAATTATGCTTTCATTTAGAACAGATTGCTTAGCCAGATTGCCAAGCTAAGCAGGGGCAGCTATTCTGAGGATAAGCAGGGAATCCTGCAAAGGATCTAGAAAACAAGTCAGAATGGAGCCAAGCATGTGGAATTGGGAAGACAGGCTGGAGTGAAGGAACACACAAGTTCTAAAGGTTTAAGGACTGGGGGGCATCATAGCCAGAAGGAGCAGTGGGTCTGGAATCCAGGGCAGGGAATGGCTGAGTTTATATTCAGAAGTGGGATTTATACGAGACTAGGCAACAGAGGGCCTGGGAATGTACCCAGGCTGTCTGTAGATCAAGAATCTGGGCTACCAACAGGCTTGGGACTCCTAAGTAAAAAAACGACATCATATGCAGGCAACTCTTGGTATCATCCCAGGACCTTTCATTTGCCTCTTGTCAGCTCAGGAGTCAGCACCTGACAGAGGCAATCTTGGGCTCTGCTGGAGGAAGCAGTGAGGGACACCTGAAGGCTAAGAAAGGGCAGACAGACATGTGGGGACCTACATCTGACTTAAAGAGGGGACTTTTTCTCAACAGACAAAGCTGTGCAGTTTTCTGAGGCATCCTTTACCTGGGACCACAATTCGGAAGTCACAATCCAAGAGTGAGTTGTCTCCTTTTCCTCTTGCTGTTTTTTAGGATTCTCCTTGCCAGTCTTGTTGTTGAAAAATTCCATGTAATATAATACATGGGGAAACGAGCTATGTGCATGTGTTCAGTTAGAGACTAGTGCAGGCTAAACTCTTGGAGGGATGAACTGACAGCAAAGATCCTGAGCCCCTGTCCCTGTAACTACATCTGCTACCCTGCTTTCCTACTGTGGGACAGTGCGCGTCCAGCTGAGAGCCTATGAAGACATTTATTCTCCAGACTGGATGGAGGTAGTGCAGGGTTGGCAGGTAGCCTAGGTCTCTGGGTATGGTAGTGGATACACACAAGAACCTGAACTCAATTTAAGTTCATTTATTCACTTAAGAATAGTAATCAAGAAAAATCTGCCTTCTTTGCCCAGAGTGGTTGTTGGGAGCTGCCTCTATAATCAACTTCAGATCTGGAATTTTTCATCTACATAACCCATTCTCACATTCCCCTGCCTTAAGCCAACCCTTTCTTGCCACATTGCTGCATGTAATGTGTTCCTTAAGCACTGTATGTACTGGTACGGCCAACTCAGCCACTGAGCACAGCACCACAGAGCACACCGGGAGCCCAAGCAGGCCAGATATTTTCTTCACAACTGAGTATACCTGATCATCTCCCTGCTACACCCAGAACTTTCCACATTTCTCTCCTATTCCTAGATCCTTTAACATGGACTCTGGAGCTTGCCCCAGCATGTGTCAGGCAAGAAGCCCCACCTCTGAACCTTCCCAACCTGAAAGCCTCACTTTGCAGAGAGTAGAGTGGACATAGCTCCCACTTTGCTAGTAGGATAAGTCTGGAAGGAGTCCAGCTCAAGGGGCAGGTTCAGAAAGCCTGTGAACAAGTTCCCCATGTTCCTAATGTTCTAGGGACTCAAATAATAGGGCCAGAACAGAGTTTCCAGGAGCCTGGCCCAGTGTGGGCCCCTCCCCAGTCAGACTCAGCCAGATCTCCGGGGGAGGGGAACAGGGAATCTGTGCTTTCAGCAAGTGTTTTATTGAATGGTTATTCTCATTGAATGGCCAACTTCGGGATACATTAATCTGGTCCAACCCCATTAGTTTAGAAACGAGAGTCCAGGAGAAGTGGCCCTCCAAGATCACACAGCTCGGCAGTGGCAGAGTTGGGACTTGAACCAATAGGGTCTTGTTCAGTGGTACCACGTTGGTTCTAAAATAATTTTTCCAGTGGAAACTCACATTTGGCACAAACAACTTATATATGAGGACTTACTCTCGAAACTCTTAGAGCAGAAAAAAAATCATTAGAGAAATACTTTGGAGTATTGTATATGCAAGACAAATTTTCCAATCTTGAGGGAAAATCTCCTAATAATCGGACTTCCTATGGAGCGTCTGAGAAGTGGCTTGAACTTCTCCTGAATAACACCCCTCCACACGCCCTTCTCTTTCAAGTGCACTTCTGTCTTTCAGCGTGAACCTAGACATTATGCCAGGCCAACTGGTGGCTGTGGTGGGCACTGTGGGCTCTGGGAAATCCTCCTTGATGTCAGCCATGCTGGGAGAAATGGAAAATGTCCACGGGCACATCACGGTCAAGGTGAGAAGGAATGCCAAGGAGAAGACTTCTGACACTCAAATGTGGTCTCTTGGCGCTGCCTTCTCATTGGGAGAATGAACTAGAATCTGATAACTACTCCTGTCATGTTGCTGTAGGTGAGGTCGTGGAGAAATGGTAGATTCTTTGCCCCACCCCACATATATAATCATACTCTGGGGTAGATTCTAAAAACCTGCATTTTTAATGAGCTCCCCAGGTGATTCTCATATGCATACTAAAGTTTGAAAACTTGAACAGAGATGTCTTCTATCAAAGTATAGGTAATTCTATATCTGTGTTTCTGAAAACGTCACGTTCTGCGAAACTGTACAATAAAAATAATAGGACCTGGGGGAAAGAGTTGCAACAGATCATTAAAAACATATGTAACTTTGTAAACAGGGTAGCAACAAAAACAACAACAGCGATAACAATTAAAACAGTAGCACTGGGCTTCCCTGGTGGCGCAGTGGTTGAGAGTCCGCCTGCCGATGCAGGGGACGCGGGTTCGTGCCCCGGTCTGGGAAGATCCCACATGCCGCGGAGCGGCTGGGTCCGTGAGCCATGGCCGCTGAAAAAAAAAAAACAGTAGCACTGTAAAATCTCCACTGACAATTACACCCAGCTTCACAATTAGTTCTGGGCCTCTCACCTCTTCCTTTGAGAGCTGGGTATTTTTTTATTATTATTATTATTTTCTTGCGGTACGCGGGCCTCTCACTGTCGCGGCCTCTCCCGTTGCGGAGCACAGGCTCAGCGGCCATGGCTCACGGACCCAGCCGCTCCGCGGCATGTGGGATCTTCCCGGACCGGGGCACGAACCCGCGTCCCCTGCATCGGCAGGCGGACTCTCAACCACTGCGCCACCAGGGAAGCCCGAGAGCTGGGTGTTTGAGGGCACTTGCTTCCGTACAAAAACATGACATAGAGTATAGATGTCGTCAATTATAATTTTTTTAAATAGAGAAGAAATGTTTTCATGGCATCTCCATCAGTACTCTCAGCTTCCCCAGAGAGCTAAATTTAGGGGAAATTACAGGTATTTGGAATCATTTAACCAGCCACTACTCGCACCAAAAAGAGGCACGTCTATAGATTTTTAGCTTTTCTTAAGATCTTCATATATTGCTAAGCCTTTCTTCTTAATTATAAGAAAGCTTGCCCCTAATTGCTTTACACTGACATGCTTGGAAAAATTTTAAGAACCAACACTTCTTCCACATTATACTGACATTATTCCCTGATTTACTGATTACTAATGAGATAATTTGCATTAAATAAACATGCAGTATAGCAGAGCAGACTCTACAGATTTAACTCTGCCTCCTAACTCCTTTCAAGAAGCTTTTTCTTGCTAACTCATAACTGGGTTTGTCCTCAAACACAGGTGTTTATCAGGCTCCATCTCTCATTTGACACGATCTGTTTTGTGCATCAGTCTGGTACCCAAATTTCAATCTCTTAGTTCTTGCTTCCTAAGATGTTGTCTACACCACTCCCCCATCAGTGTTGGCCCTCTGTTGGTCCTAGTAAACTCTTTGGGGTCTGACTAAAAGCCTGTTCCAGAAGCAGCACGTGCAGTCATCCTCCATTTTTTGGATCATGGCTAGAGAGTGATAGTCCAAAAAAGGAGACTTCAAATGATGCATAGGATATTGAATCTTTCTCCCTGGATGGTGCAATAAATACATGCACCTTTATAAATATCAATTGCTCAGTCAGCCTGACATTTTTTAAAAATCTACATTCCATTTGTTCCTCCCAACTCCTGCCACCCCCTCCTTCAACACTGCATTTCCAGAGGAACAAAACTGTCATATGGTCTGACCCTTCCCATCCTAGGGCACTGTGGCCTATGTCCCGCAGCAGTCCTGGATCCAGAACGGCACCATAAAGGACAACATCCTTTTTGGGTCAGAGTTGGATGAAAAGAAATACCAGCAAGTTCTGGAGGCCTGTGCCCTCTTCCCCGACTTGGAAGTGCTGCCTGGGGGAGATCTGGCTGAGATTGGAGAGAAGGTACTTGGGACACCAAGGGGCCTTGAAGGGTGAAGAAATAATGAAGGAAAAGAGTAAGGGTGATGAAGAAGTACATGACAGTAAAATAGTTGATCAATTTTGATGGTCAAGCCTGGAACAAACACCAGAAAACATGAGTTTGCACAATATTTTGTGCAAATAACTCAGAAATTTAAAATTTCGTACCTAGAAGCAAATATAGGAACTGTGTAACCTAAAGGAGAGATGATGAGGCTAGGACCTGAGAGGTTAACTAAGAAGCAGCTGACCCAAATTTGACCTCACAGGTGGAGGGCCAGAGGCAGACCAGAGCCTAGTTGTCCTGACTCTACTTCTGTATACCAGTGAGGACCAGAGTACGGTTCTAATAATCTGCTTTGAACACATAGAAATTTAGAGTATATTATTTTCTCATGTTGTCAAATGCCTTTCTTAAAAATTAATTTTTAATGACTGTTTTGAATTATATGAATATAGTATAATTTGTTTAGAAATCCCTGATTACTACATATTTGGGATGTTTTTATACTCTTTCCCCATTACTAAACATGAATATAGCAGTTTTTGGGGGAAAGATTTTGAGATGTTAGAAGACTAGTGAAGATATAGCTCTAGAATGATTTTGTTCATTAATTCAGCATATTTTTATTGAGTACCTACTATGTGCCACACACTATTTTAAGTGCTGGAGTTACATCCACAAACAGAGGAAATCTACCCTGATATAGCTCTACATTCTCATGGGGAAGAAGCAACAACAACAACAAAATAAGTAAATTATATGATATAAAATGGTAAGTTGGCCATGCTTTTAATTATTGGGCCTAAAGTTATTTATTTGAATCAAAGATATTTATTTGTATAAAGGAACTTGTGTTACTGAACTGAACTTGGGTCTGGCTGCCCACCACACAGCACAGCCAATCTACTGACGTTGCGTTGTGGTGAATGAAAGTACAGTGTTTATTGCAGGGCCCAGCAAGGAGAATCGTCAGCTCATGCTCAAAAGACCCAAACTCCTCAATAGCTTTCAGGGAATGTTTTTTTTATTATTATTTTAAAATTATTATTTTAAAATATTTTAAATATTTATGTATTTATTGGCTGTGTTGGGTGTTAGTTGTGGCATGTGTGATCTTTTGTTGTGGCGCATGGGCTCTTCACCTCGTTGTGGTGCGTGTGCAGGCTTCTCTCTAGTTGCGGCATATGGGATCCAGAGCATATGAGCTCTGTAATTGTGGCACATGGGCTCTTTAGCTGTGGCACATGGGCTTAATTTTCCCGCAGCATGTGGGATCTTAGTTCCCCAACCAAGGATCGAACTGGTGTCCCCTGCATTGCAATAGAAGCTTTTTTTTCTTTTAACATCTTTATTGCAGTATAATTGCTTTACAGTGGTGTGTTACTTTCTGCTTTATAACAAAGAGAATCAGCTATACATACACATCTATCCCCATATCTCCTCCCTCATGCATCTCCCTCCCACCCTCCCTATCCCAGCCTTTTGGGTGGTCACAAAGCACTGAGCTGATGTGGCTGTTTCCCACTAGCTATCTATTTTACATTTGGTAGTGTATATATGTCCATACCACTCTCTAACTTCGTCCCAGCTTACTTTCGCCCTCCCCGTGTCCTCCAGTTCATTCTCTATGTCTGTGTCTTTATTCCTATCCTGCCCCTATGTTCTTCAGAACCACTTGTTTTAGATTCCATATATATGTGTTACCATACGGTATTTGTTTTTCTCTTTCTGACTTACTTCACTCAGTATGACAGACTCTAGGTCCATCCACCTCACTACAAATAACTCAATTTCATTATTTTATGGCTGAGTAATATTCCATTGTATATATGTGCCACATCTTTATCGATTCATCTGTCGATGGACACTTAGGTTGCTTCCACATCGTGGATATTGTAAATAGAGCTGCAATGAATATTGTGGTACATGACTCTTTTTGAATTATGGTTTTCTCAGGGTATATGCCCAGTAGTGGGATTGCTGGGTCATATGGTAGTTCTATTTTTATTTATTTATTTTTTAACATCTTTATTGGGGTATAATTGCTTTACAATGTTGTGTTAGTTTTTGCTTTATAACAAAGTGAATCAGTTATACATATGTTCCCATATCTCTTCCCTCTTGCGTCTCCCTCCCTCCCACCCTCCCTATCCCACCCCTCCAGGCGGTCACAAAGCACCGAGCTGATAACCCTGTGCCATGTGGCTGCTTCCCACTAGCTATCTACCTTACGTTTGTTAGTGTATATATGTCCATGCCTCTCTCTCGCCCTGTCACAGCTCACCCTTCCCCCTCCCCATATCCTCAAGTCCGTTCTCCAGTAGGTCTGGGTCTTTATTCCTGTCTTATCCCTAGGTTCTTCATGACATTTTTTTCTTAAATTCCATATATATGTGTTAGCATATGGTATTTGTCTTTCTCTTTCTGACTTACTTCACTCTGTATGACAGACTCTAGGTCTTTCCACCTCATTACAAATAGCTCAATTTCATTTCTTTTTATGGCTGAGTAATATTCCATTGTATATATGTGCCACATCTTCTTTATCCATTCATCCGATGATGGGCACTTAGGTTGTTTCCATCTCCAGGCTATTGTAAATAGAGCTGCAATGAACATTTTGGTACATGACTCTTTTTGAATTATGGCTTTCTCAGGGTATATGCCCAGTAGTGGGATTGCTGGGTCCTATGGTAGTTCTATTTGTAGTTTTTTAAGGAACCTCCATACTGTTCTCCATAGTGGCTGAACCAATTCACATTCCCACCAGCAGTGCAAGAGTGTTCCCTTTTCTCCACACCCTCTCCAGCATTTATTGTTTCTAAATTTTTTGATGATGGCCATTCTGACTGGTGTGAGATGATATCTCATTGTAGTTTTGATTTGCATTTCTCTAATGATTAATGATGTTGAGCGTTCTTTCATGTGTTTGTTGGCAGTCTGTATATCTTCTTTGGAGAAATGTCTATCTAGGTCTTCTGCCCATTTTTGGATTGGGTTGTTTGTTTTTTTGTTATTAAGCTGCATGAGCTGCTTGTAAATTTTGGAGATTAGTCCTTTGTCAGTTGCTTCATTTGCAAATATTTTCTCGCATCCTGAGGGTTGTCTTTTGGTCTTGTTTATGGTTTCCCTTGCTGTGCAAAAGCTTTCAAGTTTCACTAGGTCCCATTTGTTTATTTTTGTTTTTATTTCCATTTCTCTAGGAGGTGGGTCAAAAAGGTTCTTGCTGTGATTTATGTCATAGAGTGTTCTGCCTATGTTTTCCTCTTAAGAGTTTGATAGCTTCTGGCCTTACATTTAGGTCATATCCATTTTGAGTTTATTTTTATGTATGGTGTTAGGGAGTGTTCTAATCTCATACTTTTACATGTACCTGTCCAGTTTTGCCAGCACCACTTATTGAAGAGGCTGTCCTTTCTCCACTGTACATTCCTGCCTCCTTTATCAAAGATAAGGTGACCATATGTGTGTGGGTGTATCTCTGGGCTTTCTATTCTGTTCCATTGATGTATATTTCTGTTTTTGTGCCAGTACCATACTGTCTTGATTACTGTAGCTTTGTAGTATAGTCTGAAGTCAGGGAGCCTGATTCCTCCGGCTCCATTTTTCATTCTCAAGATTGCTTTGGCTATTCGGGGTCTTTTGTGTTTCCATACAAATTGTGAAATTTTTTGTTCTAGTTCTGTGAAAAATGCCAGTGGTAGTGATAGGGATTGCATTGAATCTGTAGATTGCTTTGGGTAGTAGAGTCATTTTCACAATGTTGATTCTTCCAATCTAAGAACATGGTATATCTCTCCATCTATTTGTGTCATCTTTAATTTCTTTCATCAGTATCTTATAATTTTCTGCATACAGGTCTTTTGTCTCCTTAGGTAGGTTTATTCCTAGATATTTTATTCTTTTTATTGCAATGGTAAATGGGAGTGTTTTCTTAATTTCACTTTCCTATTTTTCATCATTAGTGTATAGGAACGCGTGAGATTTCTGTGCATTAATTTTGTATCCTGCTACTTTACCCAATTCAGTGATTAGCTCTAGTAGTTTTCTGGTAGCATCTTTAGGATTCTCTATGTATAGTATCATGTTATCTGCAAACAGTGACAGCTTTACTTCTTCTTTTCCGATTTGGATTCCTTTTATTTCTTTTTCTTCTCTGATTGCTGTGGCTAAAACTTCCAAAACTATGTTGAATATTAGTGGTGAGAGTGGACAACCTTGTCTTGTTCCTGATCTTAGTGGAAATGCTTTCAGTTTTTCACCATTGAGGACGATGTTGGCTGTGGGTTTGTCATATATGGCCTTTATTATGTTGAGGAAAGTTCCCTCTATGCCTACTTTCTGCAGGGTTTTTATCATAAATGGGTGTTGAATTTTGTCGAAAGCTTTCTCTGCATCTATTGAGATGATCATATGGTTTTTCTGCTTCAATTTGTTAATATGGTATATCACGTTGGTTGATTTGCGTATATTGAAGAATCCTTGCATTCCTGGAATAAACCCCACTTGATCATGGCGTATGATCCTTTTAATGTGCTGTTGGATTCTGTTTGCTAGTATTTTGTTGAGGATTTTCGCATCTATGTTCATCAGTGATATCAGCCTGTAGTTTTCTTTCTTTGTGACATCTTTGTCTGGTTTTGGTATCAGGGTGATGGTGGCCTTGTAGAATGAGTTTGGGAGTGTTCCTCCCTCTGTTATATTTTGGAAGAGTTTGAGAAGGATAGGTGTTAGCTCTTCTCTAAATGTTTGAAAGAATTCGCCTGTGAAGCCATCTGGTCCTGGGCTTTTGTTTATTGGAAGATTTTTAATCACAGTTTCAATTTCAGTGCTTGTGATCAGTCTGTTCATATTTTCTATTTCTTCCTGATTCAGTCTTGGTGGGTTGTGCCTTTCTAAGAATTTGTCCATTTCTTCCAGGTTGTCCATGTTATTGGCATAGAGTTGATTGTAGTAATCTCTCATGATCTTTTGTATT